ATGGTTTTCCATGCTGTAGCTGTAGTAGTTGGAGGGTAACTGGCTGTACACAAGTGGAAATACACATGCTGTGTCCAGCTACAACCAATACCAGATCTGTCAGGAACCAACATCCAGCAGACGGTATTGAGGGACCACAAACCTGGGTGCATCTTCAGTCCAAAACCTGGCAGCATTGGGAATTTTTCATTCAGTCTGAGGTAGGAGGGATACCTACCAGCATTTCCAATCAACACCTGACCCCCAGGAACCACACCTGGAGTATAGTAGGTAGTAGAAACCTCTTAGCCTGAGGAAAAACTGCCATATACATATAGTAATGACATGGTAGAGTGCTTCAACCAAAACCTGGCGGTACTTGGAATTGTACATCAGGTCTGTGGTAGGAAGGACATCATGCCATCCACACGATCCTAATCACGACCGGGCCACCTACAACCAGTACCAGACCCACCAGGAATGCACATTTGAAGGATGGTAGGAAGAAGGAATGCCACAGTGGGAAAAAGCAATCTGTCAGATATGTATACATTAATATGATGTGGTGCTACAACCATAACTTGGCAGTATCTGGAATTGTAGATCAGGTCTGTGGTAGAAAGTGCTATATGCCATTGACACCCACAGAATGCCACCACCATACTACCAACTGAGTGGCATGATGCCTTACTAAGGAAGACAGGCCTCCATGGTTCACCACCCCAGCAGTTAGGAACTAGTAAGTGGCAAGGGCTCCCATACTCCACTAGAAGAATGGAGGGTAAAATGCATTGGAGAGTCCAGAGGACTGCATTACTCTATTTTGAAAAGCAGAGTTACCATGTCAATGGACTCAATAAACCAACACCTGGTGGAATCTGGAATTGTATGTCAGGTCCGTGGTAGGAAGAGTCTCAATGCCACGGAGCATCAGAGATGGGTAGCAATTCCTGTCTTCTTTACTCGTGTGTCCATGTGTGTATGGTCTGGGATGAACATATTTATGAAGCAAAATACCCCTAGAGAGAACTACTAGCAGTCCTGTGGAACACCCTATCTCTACGGTGTGCGTAACCTAATCCTGCAATGTAATTGTTTCAGCATAGATGACAACTGAACGAAGACACATCCAACACCTGTTGACATCTGGAATTGTACATCAGGTCCATGGTAGGAAGAGCTACAATGTAAAAGAAATCTAGCATGGTCACAGGATGGACAGTGCAGAATTTAAAAAAATATATATACCTGCTCAGGCACCACTCACCACAAAGTGAGATCTACAATACACTAGCAAAAAGGTCCCTATTAATAAAGAAATAAAAACACAGCAAAGAGTTTGTAGTATATAAAGGAAAACTTTGACAAATTTGTGAACAAAAACATGCACATCTGTACAGTGCTACTACCAATCGAGAAATGATTAAGGAGTGCAAATGTGGAGATGTCACTGGTTATGATAGGGGTTGTGTCCTGCTCCTATTGGTGGAGAGCTGCTGCATATTAATTTACATGTGGATATGCAGAAGCAGGAGGTGGAAGGCTAGTGGCAAGCATTGAAAATTTGTGTCGATAGTGAGCAGTACTAATAGAGAAAAGCTATTTTGTGAGCGGAGGTAAGATATCATATCAGAAATTTTTTTTGGGGGGGGGGGTGTCCAAAACCCTCTTTTTTCCAGAAATTTATAAAAACAGCCAATAATATCAAAGAGAAATATTAAACGTCAGTGTTATATTTGACTGGTGTATTAATTACCATAAAAGTTTTTTTTTCCAGTTTTTTGAAGTCAACATAACTGGAGTTTACAAAAACTTGGTTATGACCTTAGGCAATAACTGATTATTTTATTTGTTTGTTGTTAAAGAAAAAGTTACACAATAAGATATCTGTGCTGTGATTCCCACAAGTGTCTAAAAACAGTTTTTATCATTATAAGCCTTCAGACTTACCACTGAGCAAATATTTCTAAATGAATATAACAATATGAATGTGAATTAAATGTTAGCATGGAACATTTATGCACCTTGGTTTTTTTCAGACACTAACAATGTGTTATGTGCGTGTACTCTACACTTTAACGATTTGTTTTAATTAAAGTCAGTATTGCTTAGGGCATCTGTAGCTCTTATAACTTATACTTGTTACAAAATTGATTTTTTTCATTACTTGGAAGTTATAATACATGCAAGAAAGATGTTTTCATATTGTTGATATACAGTTTTGAATGTATGATACACTTTCATGTATAAACATTTAGGATGAACAAAATAGCCTACTGCTATATTTCTGTACCTGAAGATAGGACTTCTTTTAGCTTTTTACATATTTTCACCACAAGGTTTTAAGACAATTATATAAGTTAATTTTAAGTATTCAAACTACTTTACCTCAAAAATATTTTTAAGTCAATATTTTGTCATGTTCTGACATTTATTTAGTGTAATTCATGAAGATAAAAGTTAATATTTTCACTTCTGCACAAATGCAAAGAGTTTTGTCCATAAAGAATACAACTTGCTTGTTGATTTTTTTATAAAAAAGTTTCCTCCCCATCCAAAAGAACAACTTTATTTTTACTAAGAACCTATTACTCCTTAAGAATATATTATCCATTTCTTGATTTTCAAGCATTTCCCTTACATTTTGTACAGGCCTTGGTTGAAACCCTAATATGGTGCCACATAAAATAGTTTGATCACTTACTAATAAAATGAAGCTTTGAAAGCAGCTATAAAGAAAGTTTAAATATGATTTGATAGAGCAAGAATTATACTAACATGTATTAATATAGTAAGTATACAAGTTTAAAGCTGTTTTTTTAGTTTCTGTGAACTTTCCTTTCCTTGTGTTTGTTTGTTTTGAATTTCGTTAAAACCTACACAAGGGCTATCTGCACTAACTGCCACTAATTTAGCGGTGAAAGACTAGAGGGAAGGCAGCTAGTCATCACCACTCATACAAACTCTTGGACTACTCTTTTATCAACAAATAGTGGGATTGACCATCACATTATAATGCCTCCACAACTGAAAAGGCAAGCATGTTTGGTGAGATGAGGATTTGAACCTGTGACCCTCAGATTGCAAGTTGAGCACCCTAACCACCTGACCATGTCAGGTCTGCTCTTTTCCTTGTGAATTGTGAAAGTATATGTGTGTTAAATTATACCTCTATGAAAGCAACAAATATTGTCTTCAGATAACTTGAGATAAGATAGATAAGCTTATACAATTTAGAGATAGGTTGAATGAGTAAGAAAGAAACCTCATTAAAAGTTTAATACAGTAACAAATGTACAATGTATGAAAAATATTTTGTCAATATCAGGTTTAAGTATTCTACCTATAGACAAGAATATATACACAGTATGAAGCAAAGAAGTCATGAATGGAGATTGCACAGCTTAATAAAAGTATTTTTTGATGTCTGGTACTTTGTTTAAAATTGTGATGTTTATATTTTTAAATAAATATTATATGGTTTAATTGTGTTGTAATATCTGTAAATATGAGGTTCTTTTATTATGTTCACCAAATAAAATAAAATTGTCATCAAATCAGATATGTTTACTTAAACAATTAGTGAGTATGAAAGTGATTGCAAAATACTGTGATGACTCAAATCTTTATTGAATATCAATTATATTTGTCATAAAACATTAAGTTAGGCCTATTATAATTTTTAACAGTACATTCTCATTCTAATTTTTTAGAGATTTTCATGAATTAGAACAGTGTATAATAACAGTATTCCATCCACACTATATTTGTCATGTCCATTGTTGATGACACATTTCACACAATCCAGAGCTCTTCGGGCTGATTGGGATAATACAACAACACAGTAGTAGTTGGAATACTACTATTATACACTCTTCTAATTCTTTAAAATACTTAATGGAATAGATTAAGAAAGTAGTGTTAAAAAATATATAATATGCCTAATATAATGTCTTATGGGAAGTATGACTGATTATAATAATGCTTTGCCTGCTTCTAAAAGGAATTCCCCTTATAACACTTTATTAAATATTGTTTTTGTGTTTATCCTATTCAAACAACATACATAAATAAATTGCCTAATTGGCTACTTAATTATTTGTAATTGTAATCCTGAGATGTTTTAAATGAAAACATTATTACCCCTTATTGTTATAGTATAACATGTTTTCCTTATTCAATTATCAATTTATTTAATTTAGAGAAGATCACTGTGGGATTACTGAATATTCAAAAACAAACAATGGTGATCATGAGATAGTATTCAGTCAACATTAACAATTTATCTGCCAAGTAAAAAATGTCCATAAAACTTAAGGGGAAATATGTATTTTGGGAAAGAAAAAAATGTTTATCACAAGTAGTGATATTTAGAAAAGGTCTATCATATGACATCAGGAGCATTTCAAAAATTACTGAAAAACAAACAAATCAATATGAAACATAATAGTAAATATTGTGTTAGAAAAATGTAGTAGTTGAAAAAGTTAAAATGGTAGCATATACTCTATTTTTTTATTTATACGATTTTGTAGGGGGTGTGGTGTTATAAAAATATTAATCTAATGTAATTGCCCAGCTCTATTCACAAGTTACATTCAGAGATGAATATTAATCAATCTGTTTTGTCTTTACTTCTGAAGTTAATTTCTATAGTATTTCCTCAGTTTAACTATAGCATCTCTAGTCTTCATATATGTATACAACTCCGACAATCTTCTCTCTTATTAGAAAATTAGAGTTGCTATAGCTTTCCTTACGTCTTACAAGATTCATTCTTCTTTATTTTTTCATGTTTTGGGATGGGTCTGGTATGGAGTTTCATATCTGATGTGAGCTTAATATATTCATAAAAAACAAAAACCTTTAAAAACATATAAGAGCTCTAGTTAAAATAACAGATACACAGCTTTAAACACTCTTTTGAAACAAATAATGTGAAGGTGAAAGTATAAAATAAATGTACCTTTGTGTACTTATTATATTCTCTTTAAATTTTGAAGCTATCCACATTAACTTACCTTCACACAAAAACATGTCCCATATCCTTAGAACACAAGACCATGGTAGTGTACGAGAAAAGATACACATCAGCCATTCAGTCATGTAAAGAATTGGCTCCACAGCCTGTTTTCTCTAAAAGAGAATACATCTTTCAGAAAAAATAGTTTACTCTTTTTATATTTCATTATGAAATGACTCATGTTTTGTCTTACGAAAAATTATGAACAAGAGCATAAAAAATTTTCATTACATTATTTTATGCTATCACAAAAAGTAAAAAAGGAACCATTTTTCAACTTGTACAGTTTTCATATAGAAGTAATAATATCTTAAGATTAAACTGTTTTCAAAAGCTATGTTCAATTATATGAAGGTAATTCAAAACTTGTATCTACTGGCTAAAAGTACCATGTATTCTTACAATACTGTCACTGAAGTTTAAGTTTAGACCTATTCCCTACGTAATGGTTTATCTAATGCACAAGTTACATCTTAAAAGAAAACATTATTGAATGTTACAAAGTATTAAAAACAAATATAAATAAAATGTGTCAATGAACTATTAACATGCAATATTTCTTTTTGTAATTTCCAACTAAACACTTAAAATTAATATATTAAAACTATTTGATTTCTTTAATAATTTCCCTGTTGGTACAAAGTGGTCAACCTGAGCAATAAAACAATTTAACCTTTTTTCAGGCCACTGATATTCATCGATTTTTTATCATTTTCACAATGGAATTATTTAACCAAATTATGTGAAACTGAGAAAAAACTAAGCAGTACCTAAGTTCAGCTTTAAAAAATTAAAATAATTTAATTTAGTTTTACTATCATTTGTGAAATTTAATGTTATGAAACTTCCAAAACTTTCTTGTGATGCACAGTTTTCAAAAAAATATAAAAATACTTCCTTTTGTCACTGAATTTCGATTTATTTTCAGTGTTCATGAAAAAGTTATATTTTATATATTTAATCAGTTTCAACTTAATTGATAATTATTACCATATTTCCTTTGATATTTTATTTGGATACAAACAGAATCTACTCTGGGTGCTAAGTTACTGAAGGACTGATGTCGGGAGTTGGAACCCACAAACAGGAGTTGAACTATGTCCTCCTGTAGGAGCCGATGAAATTCAAGCCTCCAACAAACACAGGGAGATATGAAAAAGCCAAAAATTGAACCAATGTGCATGCTAACAATGGATCCAGCTCATCAACAATGAAGTTGGTGATCCTGAGAGTCTTCCAACAAAGTAAAGTGAAAGGAAAACACAATGTTGGATTTTAGAGTTGAAAATCCATAAACTTACCTTTTCCCAGCAGGGGACATTGATCTATTCAGGGTAACTGCAAACTCTGCCTTAGAACCCAAAAATTCGAGGAGCAGATGTACGATTTGAGAGTCAGAAAATGCTTCCAAATGACTCTTCATGTAACTGAGAAGTAAACCTTCCAGCATGAACCACAGTTTCCATGGATGGAGAGAAAACTAAAAATTCGCTCTTTTACCTTTCAGTCATCAAGTAAGGTGCAGGTTCAAAAGGAATCAGGAAAAAGCCCAAAACATCACACATTCAAAGAACCAACAGGAGAAAACAAAGCCAAGGCAGCTTATCTCAAAGTGGCCTTCTTTTTTATTTGTTTTATAGGTCAGTTAAAGACTGTGTTGACTACCATTGACAGAACCATCATTTTGTTAGATAAATTTGTTTTGTTAAAGCAAAGCAATGTTAGGCCATCTGCCTTGTCCACCCTTAATAAAAAACTATTATTGATTTGTTGTGTTGTATGATTATTGTTATATTTTTTTTGTTTTCTAATTCTGATGTTGTGTTTTGCATTCGTGACTCGCTGTTATCGAGAGTATGGAGTGGCAGGTTGGAACTGAAAGTGAAGGGGTGATGGCGACCCAAGATATAAAGTGGGCCAGCAGAGCATAAAGAATCAGGAGGTGGAGGAAAAGCTATGGACAAGACAAGGTGTATGACTGTGCTGATATATTTGTATGCATTTTGTTTCTGAATATATATATATATATATATATGTTGATTTGAAACAAGTGTGGTGCATGCTGTTCATTCATAGTTACTTTTACTGTCAACAAGTCACAGACACATACTGTATAAGAATCCACAAAAACATAACCTCACAAATTGGCGTCCGCGACAGGATCTATACAGTGGTAAATGGCAGTAAGTGAAAATGTGAATGCCATTGGAAGAAAAGAAGGCCAATCTATGCACAACTGTAGTAGTATTGCATATAGTGTAGAGATTACAATCATGCTATACATTTGATAAATTGGAGAATGTTTTGAGTTAAAAGACAGTGAACTACGAGAATTTGTCAATCAACAACAAAAGCTTGAGAGAAAAGAATAGCAGCAGAAAAGATAAATTGGGAAAGAAGAAAAAATAAAAATTGAAATAAGAAAGATTGAAGGAAAGAAAAGAAAGTGAGAGAAAGGAAAGATGGCAACTCGAGAGAGAGAAAGAATAAGAATACAAATTGAAAAAGAAGAGAGAGAGGAGAGATTAGAAATAGAGAGAATAAGAGCACAAATTGAGATTGCAAAACTCACCCAACCAAAGGATGAAGGACCCAAGAATGACAAGGTAGTCGGGGCCAGCCGACCCAAGCTACCCAAATTTAATGAACATCAAGACAACATGGATGCTTTCCTGGAGAGATATGAAAGAATTGCCCAAAGTCAGAACTGAGACAAAGGCGACTGGGCAGTCTGTCTCAGTCCACTTCTCACAGGAAAAGGCCTACGAGTATATGCAAGCATAACATAAGAAGATGCCATGGATTATGATAAATTAAAAGTAGCTTTACTGAAATGATATGAACTTACTGAAGAAGGTTTTCAGAGGAGTCAAACCCTACACTGGAGAAACTGTATTTCAGTTTGTGGCACGTGTGCGGCATTATTTTACCAGATGGACTGACATGGCTAGGTGTGAAAATAGTTTTGAAGGATTGGCAAACCTATGAGTGCAAGAACAGTTCATGATAAAGTGCTCAAATGACATGTCACTGTTCTTAAAGGAAGGAGCACCAAAAGACGTAAATGAGATGATCCAGCTGGTAGAACAGTATATGGAAGCCTATGGAGGTAGTATAACTGGCAAGTCCAAGAATGTCCAGTTAAATGTGAAACCAGTAATGGCTGACCAGAAGCAGGAGCTTACCAAAGGTGACAGGAGGTTAATAAATGGAAGGGAGAGAAGATGCTATGTTTGTTATAAAACGGGACACATTGCAAAGGAGTGCAAGTCCAGTGCCAGCAAACAACAGCTGAAACCTCACTATAAAGCAGCTGGAGCTATTTACAAAGACAGTGCTAAGAAAGAAGAAACGATTGATTGGCATTATGGATGTTGCTGCCAGAAGACAGAGAACCAAGGCTACTTCTCAGTTTCAATACAAAAGAGAATGATTGATCAGTGCATGACTAATGGTTGGCTCAAATTAGCAAATGGATTAACAGTGCCAATAGTAATAGGAGAATGTGACAAATATCAAGAGGTGCCAACAAATAATAATACGCCAAAATGTTGGGGACAAGAAAGTAAAGGTTCTATGAAACACTGGGTGCAGTGGTGCAACAGTGAGAACTAGTTTCACATCTGATGATCAGATGACAGATAAGGTACGGCTGTGTGTGCTAATCGATGTGACAGTGAAAAAGTTCCCCATAGCAAAAATAAAGGTGGACACTCCACATTATGTAGGAGACCTTAAGGCCATGTGTATCAAGGAATCAATACACGACTTGGTAATAGGAAACACACCAGACAGTAGAAATCTGGAGGAACTAAGCAGAAAAAAGCTTGATGAAGCATCTGCTGTCACAATCAGAGCTCAAGAAAAGAAGAGCAAACATGACAACACGCCCTTCAAGTGTCAAAAGGCAACACCCCGAAATTAGATTTGCAGGAACTGAAGGAAGCACAGAAGAAAGACCCTTCACTGCAGAAACTTTGAGAAAATGCCTGGCAGAAAGTCAAGCAAAAAACAAAAGGGAAAAATACATATAGAATAGAGGAACGGAAGAGAGTTCTATACAGAATCTATCAAAGCAGTTGTACTGGGGAAGTTAAACAGATCATAGTACAAACAGTATACCGAACTCAAGTGATGAAATTGGCTCATGATTCAATTGTGGGAGGACACCTAGGAACAAAGAAAATGGCTAACATAATCACCAGTATCTTCCACTGGCCAGGAGTCACAGGAGAGGTGAATAGATTCTGCAGATCGTGTGGCATCTGCCAAAGAACATTACCCAAAGAAAAGGTAGCCAAGGTGCCATTGGGGAAGATGCCTCTCATAGAAGAACCATTCAGTGGAGTAGCTGTGGATTTGACTGGACCTCTAGTGCCTGTGTCTGATAAAGGCAACTGGTATGTGCTTACAGTAGTCAACTATCCAGAAGCAACAGCACTGGCAAAGATAGAGATAGAAAGAGTAGCAGAAGCCCTCCTGTAGATATTTTGCAGAGTAGGCTTTCTGAGAGAAATCCTCAGTGACAGAGGAACCCAGTTTACCTCAGAATTGATGTAGGAAGTGTGCAGACTCATCAGTACTTGGCAACTTTTTACCACACTGTACAATCCTAAATGTAATGGACTTTGTGAGAGAATAAATGGAGTTTTAAAGAGCATGCTAAGAAAGATGTGCTATGAGAGACCACGTGACTGGGATAGGTACCCGCAGGCAGTATTATTTGCTTATCGAGAAGTCCCACAGGTAAGTACAGGATTTTCACCTTTTGAATTATGGTATGGAATAACAGTACAAGGTCCAATGCAAATATTGAAAGAGCTATGGACTGGAGAACAAGCGTCAGAAATAAGGAACATGTATCAGTATGTGTTAGACCTCAGAAACTGACTGGAGGAGACCAGTAAACTTGCTCAACACAGTTTGTATGCAGCTCCTGGCAGTCAGAAACATTTCTATGACAAGAATGCCATTTCAAGGTTGGACAAAAGGTCTTAGTTCTGCTGCTCACAGATCACAACAAGCTCACTCTGCAATGGAAAGGACCTTTAGAAGTAAAGGAAGTACTCAACAGAATGGACTGCAAGGTGAATGTGAATGGAAAGACCAAAAT